TGGACCTCTCTCTCCTAGATTGGCCCTCTGTGTGTCTGCCCTATAGTCTTGGATGAAGGACCCAAGGAGAAAGACAATGCCCCTGAAAGTCACTGTGAATACCACCTTTGAATACCTCCCATTGCTGACCCGGATTCTGATCTTTGTCATCTTATGCTTATATGTTCCTTCCCCCCAGTGAACTGCTAATGATTACCTGTCAGCTTTCTATATCCCTGAAGATTTTAATTCAACATCCCTAACTTCAGTAAAACTAAAATGTTTTAGAAGGGCAAGGGGACTTCAAAGAGTTCACGGAAAATCTTTTCATTTCATTTTGCCATGAACTTTTTATTGGGAAATGGGTGAAGATTTATAGACTACAGTTTTACGTGCAACAACGCATACATACTCCGATTCAATTCCTCACTGTAATCCCCTCAACATCCCATCTCATATCTCCTTTCCTCCCTGCATTTCCTGTTTCCGTTCATTTCTCCCCCCTTCTTAACCCTCTGGTCTTTGAGGTTAGGTAGATGCTGTCCTTTGATCATAAATGACTGATTACTCCAGCACTGGGGGAATTCAGTGCCAGACGCAGGTGTAAGGGTCATAGTCTCAGGAGTCATACAGTCCCTACCCAACCCGTGAGCCTGGTTTCTGTTCTGAATTTTGAATTCTGTTCTACATTTTTCTCCCACTCTATCCAGGAGATTCTAATGTGATCTTTTTCAGAGCAGCTGGTAGTGCTAGCTGGGCACCATCTAGTTATCTTGGTCTCAGAGTTGGTTCCATGAACTTTTTGAAGTCCTCATATAGTGCATGTATTTGTAACTCAAGTCTAATTATAATGGCAACGACTGTGTGATTAAAGGCTTGACGTATGCATGGCGCTGTGCTAAACATGTCTATCTTATCTAAACAACCTTCCAAGACAATCACTGTCCTCAGTGATTGTCATAGGAGGAAACTAACAGTTTCACAGCTGCGAGAGGATGGAGCTCTGAGTCAAATATAGGTCTGTCTGGCAGGCAGGTGGTTTTCCCTGTACCCTTGCCTTTCTGAGAAGCTTATCTTTCCATTAATCAATGTTACTTATTCTAGTGATCATAGGAAGCATGCCTTTCTTCTATCACACAGTACTGTTAGGGCCATGTGTGAATACACGGAATATGAATGTAGGCAACATTAACGACAGGCTTTAGGTAAGCAACCGTACGTGGCTTCCAATATCACGCCAAAGACTATCTGCATTTTGGAACCACCTAAAATCTAGTTTATAAATGAACTCTATCACATATAACTACGTATAAATCCCACCGGCAATGATCACTATTAAAATGAAGCCAAGTGCAGCATAGGCTTCCACTTAGCACACTATTAAAAGAGACTGCGACCCGATGCTTTGGCTGCCTTGTTCGCGCAGTAAGTACCTCTTGCTTGAGCTGAAGCAGCAGTCGGCGAGTGGAGGCCCCCATTCTGGCGCAGGAACAGGGGCTCCCTCCAGGTCCGTGACAAAGGCAGGCTCCCAGGACGGCAAGCTGTAAATCCAAAAGCATTGCTCCCATCGCTAAGTGCCACAGTGCTT